TGGAGGCCAGTGAGGCCCGGCACCTTTCGAGACGTGGAGGACAGGCTCTTGCCTGCAAGAGAACGTCGTAGTGGTAGTGGTAGTCATAGTCGTAGTCGTAGTAGTCGTAGTCGTAGTGGCAGTCGCAGTGGCAGTGGCAGTAGTAGTGGCAGCAGCAGCAGCAGCAGCAGCCGGCAGCAGCAGCAGCAGCAGCAGCAGCAGCAGCAGCAGCAGCAGCAGGAGTAGTAGTAGTAGTAGTAGTAGTAGTAGTAGTAGTAGTAGTAGTAGTAGTAGTAGTAGTAGTAGTACGTACCTTGTGTTCCGGCAACCCTGTTGATGCCTTTCTTCCGTACACCAGAGATCATGACACGTTTTTCAAAAAGTCACCAAGAAGAGATTCGCAAAAGTTTTGGACCTCGGATGAGCTTGCTTTAAGGCGCAGAATTTGGATGGCCTCAAGTTTGGCGAGGCTGATACCATGTACGATGTCCGGTCGCAAACTTGGAGAGACTCTCTCCCGCGCTTTCATTCCGTGAAATGAACGGGAAGATCATTGTAGGTGGGAGTTTCTATGCGACTTTGCAAGAGTCTTTTTTCCAATTCTTTCCGGAACTCGGTTTGCTTCTGGTAGAAAGCTTCCTTGAAGATCAGTTTTTTTGGTTCTGCGCCCGGTCGCTACTCCTTCTTGCTACTAAATATGTAGAGTAGAGAAACTGAGAAACATGCAGTACATGTAGTAACCCAGTTGTGACTAAGCCACTGTGGCTTCCACTGATAGCTTCATACTTCCAAAAGAAACCAGCTGGCAGTCGCATCCAAGGCTTGTGAACCGCCGAGTCAACGGAGAACCCTGCGGTGAGGCTTGACTCAGCTGGGTTTCACACGTGTGTTCCCATTGTGCAACCACTTGAAGCCAGGAACTGTCCAGACATGTCGAGAAAATGATTCAGATGATGACAGCATCTCAAAGTGCCGCAACCTGAGAATTCGACAATTTGCAACCTTCAACCGGCTTCATCAAATTGTTGTAATAAAGAGGTGGTGTGAAAGAGTGTGAAAGAGTCGTACAGGGGCTTGCAATGGAGTGCACAGCTTGAAGCAATTGGTCTGTCTGCGGCCACGGCAAAACCCAAACTTGTAAACCCTCTTGAACTCCCTTGGCAACACTATTCACTATTCTTATTGTCAGACATGAATCAGTGAATTAGTTCGCTCAAGACCTCTGAAAGCCAAACAGGATTGGACCGCTCTCAAGCCTGGGTATGCGCACCACATACTTTGTAAACCGAGGTTTGGCCCTGGGTGTGCGCAGGCTTTTTCGTAGGACTGTCTCACAAAGCCATCCGTGGATAGGCAAATCGATTTTTTTAAAGGATTATAGTAGCGTCCTTGTTCATAGTTGCGATGCCAGAAGCCCCTAGTAGCGTCCTTGCTCCTAGTAGTACGGCCAGGAGCCCCTATAATTTAATATATATATATATATACGTGTCACGATGGGCTGCATGATTTTTTTCACAGATCTAGGAAGCACCAGACACAAGAATCAACACTTTTTTCCCGCGCCTAGAGTCCAGGTAACAGAGCTAGTATCCATCATGAGATAGGAGGTACTTCCTTGCAACAATGTGAAATGTGCATTGCTGTTGTTTTGTTCTCTAGTTCTAGCGTGGAATCTCTTTGGTTCAAACAAGCCTTTTATATAAACACCTTTCATGAACTTGCAAGTCAACCAGGCAACCATGGTAGTTTGTGTTCAATCATGTGATTTGTACATATTTGTACATTTATATAGACCCAAAAACGTTGATCTGGCTCACTTCTAGTCACTTCTAGCAAGCGGAGATGTGTTTTTTTTTGTGGTAGGATCTTGTCTTACTTGTTGGCTCGTCAGCCCTGGCCTTAAGTTAGCACTCATCGCCGTGTCACCCTTCGACTTTGAGTGACTACTGCCGCATTGAGCTGAGGCATTTGTAATGACTACTGCCGTATTCGGTCACCGAAGGCCTCGGATGAACCAAAAAGATTTATCAAAAATCGATAAACATCGTCAACACATCTCCAATGGTTCTCCCTTCTTGGGTTCTTCCCTTTTGGGAAATCTTGATTGCGCCGCGCTGCATTAGACCATTTTACTACCACTGTACTTTGTTTTCGTCGAATCTGCAGATTCGAGCCCAAAGTCTCCTCACTAGCAGCTTGTGCAGGCTCTTCCAAGAAGATTTCCGTCCGAAGGCTGGGAAGAAGATGGGAGAAAGGGTCTGACCATCCTGATTGTTTCGCCCCACACTTTGATACGACACTTTCTTTAAAGTCCGATCCTCTTTCTCCCTACTTAATTAAGTAGGCGCCTACTTAATTAAGTAAGAGAGAGGTAGCTAGTAGGTACAGGACGCAGGATAGTTCACGCTTCCTTCAGGGCGGGGGGGAGCTTCCTTGAAGAAGCGCTCGCACCATTCATTTGGCTCCTAGATTTTAAGGGACACTCTACCTGGCATTTGCTCATCGTTTCACTTTCAGAGGCAGATGGCAAGCTCGTGGCTCAGCACATCCCCAGACCCGAATGAGAACAGATGAAGCTTCTCAAACCTCGCCTTAGGCTAGACCGCCTCTTCAGGGTCGGGAAGAGGTGGCTGATTTTCTGCACATCACTCCTCCCATACTCGTACTTCAAAGTGTTCCAATATATTATTTATGTGTTTTTTCCTGTACTGTTGGTTTTGGTTTGGTTTCTACATCACTTTTCTTTTATGTCTTGTTTTCTCTCCTCTCCTTTCTTCCTTTTTCCTTTGTTCATGTATTCATGATTAGTCTCAACTTGCGAGGTGCCACTGATGCAGTCCACTGCGACTTCTCAATGGCAATCCCAGGACGGGGCACCAATGGGTGCCGATGCCACCGCAACTTCACGCATTCTTCCAGAATTGGCAAACAACTTTAGTAACAAGTGCATCGCTAGTAGTAACAAGTGCCTTACTAGTAGTAACAAGTGCATCGCTAGTAGTAACAAGTGCCTTACTAGTAGCAACAAGTGCATCGCTAGTAGTAACAAATGCCTTACTAGTAGTAACAAGTGCATCGCTAGTATTAACAAGTGCCTTACTAGTAAGAAGCGCATCGCTAGTAGTAACAAGTGCATCGCTAGTAGTAACAAGTGCCTTACTAGTTGTAACAAGTGCCTTACTAGTAGTAACAAGTGCATCGCTAGTAGTAACAAGTGCCTTACTAGTAGTAACAAGTGCATTGCTAGTAGTAACAAGTGCCTTACTAGTAGTAACAAGTGCATCGCTAGTAGTAACAAGTCCATCGCTAGTAGTAACAAGTGCCTTACTTGTGGAATCAAGTGCATCGCTAGTAGTAACAAGTGCATCGCTAGTAGTAACAAGTGCCTTACTAGTAGTAACAAGTGCATCGCTAGTAGTAACAAGTGCATCGCTAGTAGTAACAAGTGCATCGCTAGTAGTAACAAGCGCATCGCCTTTTGTAACAAGTGCATCGCTAGTAGTAACAAGTGCATCACTAGTAGTAACAAGTGCCTAACTAGTAGTAACAAGTGCATCGCTAGTAGTAACAAGTGCTTCGCTAGTAGTAACAAGTGCCTTACTAGTAGTAACAAGTGCATCGCTAGTAGTAACAAGTGCATCGCTAGTAGTAACAAGTGCCTTAACTTACTAGTAGTAACAAGTGCATCGCTAGTAGTAACAAGTGCCTTAACTTACTAGTAGTAACAAGTGCATCGCTAGTAGTAACAAGAAGCTTTTAGAAATTGCAGAATTGCCGTTCGCACCTGGTCGGTACCTGGTCGGCACGCCTCGTTTCTGAAGAGAGGAGTCCGCAAGATCTGCACGTCAGTTGGCGGCGAATCAGTTTCAGGGTCAAGCAGGTGTACCAGGCAGGCAGCTTTCGAGTCAGTAGCAGCGATGCCAGGAGCGGCTAGTAGCGTCCTTGCTCCTAGTAGTAAGGCCAGGAACCCCTAGTAGCTTTCGAGATGCACCGCTTTAGAATCACAGTTCCCGATGTTCAAGTGAGAGCTGTCAAAAAGGATTCCAAGGGATTCCAAGGGCATGTTTGGAGGTGTGGAAGGTCCTTGCAGCCGTCCTCGCGTTCGCCAGGTCAGTTCTCCTCCGGCATGTACCAATGGCCAGGGGTTTGTGCCTCACCCCACTGCGAGTGACGAGTGTACCACAGCTTGTGAGAAGGTGAATGGACAAAGCAATTCGAGCAAAAAACTAAGGACAAGAGAAGAAAGGAAGAAAAGAAGTGCCTAAAATGGGTTAAAGACCTAAAGTCTAAAGAAAGGAAAGAATATCCGAGGAAGGACCCTTATTGCCAGGGGTACTTACAGGGGTTTGGATCATCCGCAAATTAATACAAAGGATATTTTGTGGTGTAGGATTTTGTCCATCAATAGGGTGAAAAAGATTGAACTAGTCACAATATAACTGAGGCGCCGACAAGAGCATCGCCATGAGGGGCGCTTCAGAAGCGAAGCCAAAGAAAGCTCTTTTATTGGGAGTGGCCGAGTGCCAAGATGTTCCAACCAGTTCCTGAAGTCCTAAGAATTTAGACTTTGGAATTATCTCAGGGTTTGTTTCGGTCATATCCCAGGATCTTTATGTCGAATGCACCCGAATCAAAAAAGCGCTCCATAGGTCCTATAATACTATTGTGCCATAGGCCCGTAGGTCCTAGGGAGAAAGCTCCATTTGGGCCGTTGAGTTGTTGAATGATGTTGTTCTGCTTTCTCTACGGGCTTCTTATCATGTTTTTTGTGGCAATGGTAGACGTGGCTCAAGGCCTGAAAAGCGATGAATTTAACGTGAGTTGTCTTTGCCACTCAGAGCTTTGGCCATTTGACCGGAAACGGGATCAGACATCAATATTGATTTCATGCATAGACCAACATTTGTATTATCAGTATTATAAATACCAATATATCCTTGTAACATTGTATCACAAGCCACCTGGTAAAGAAGTATCCTGATAAACTAGCAACCATCGCCAACCAGACTAATAGTGTGGCTCTCTGTGACTCTCCACTTGCTTTCAATCTGCGCACCTTTTGGTCTGCAAAAGTTCGGATGGCAATAATCTTCAATGTCTCGTTGGACTGACGATTGGGAAACCCATTCGCCTCAGTCTGAAGCTTAGCCGATTGAAGTGTGCGTTCGGATGAAGCGATTCACTTGCTTATGACAATCCGATTGAAGCCTCCAAGAATGTTTTGAATTGTTGCTGGATTATTTTTGACATACCCCACTAGTACCACGCGATAAGCGACGGCGATATAAACTCAATCAGCAATGTGCCTTTTGATTCCCTTGCCACAGCGGCATTTGCTGAAGACGCCCAGCTGCCTTATCCAGGTCTGGTGACGGGCAGACGTCACAGACGTCTTGGCGGTATGAGAGTGATGAAGCAAGTAACGACGTCAACGGCCGCCGCCAGCTCGGGGAGCCCAGACTTGCCATTTAGAACATTTTAGAACGTATGGAAATTGTATGGAACGTATTAGTAAAATAGACGGTTTAACAATGTTTAACATGTTGATGTCCCGTTGAGAATCAGTTTGTTTCTTGAACTTCATACTAGAACAGCCAAGTTATTCGCAGCGCATGGCGACGGATACCGCCCACACCGAGGATGAAATGGAAGCTGTCAATCACATATATAAGTCTATCATGGTATATCCATGCATGTGAGCATCATGTTTCCATGTATATGTATCCACCCATCCATGCATGCTCGCTCACATCCAAATCACTCAATCAAGATCCACTTCCACTCAAGGCCAGATCGGTCGGCACAGCTTGATAGCTCTGATGACTACTGGTGCAAATCCCAGTTAATTCCGCTCAGCAGTGGTTCTTGCTGATTTCATTTGATTTCGTTAATTGGTTATTTTGCCAAGGAGCGAGAGATCTCAGCCGGTTGATTTCTTGAGTGCTTTGACTGAGATTAGAGAATGATGAGAATGTGGACATGCAAGGCAGATCCATGAAGTCAAGTCCAACGTCGGACCCTGAAAACTGCAGGCCCAGGCAACACCGTGACTGTAGACGAGACAGATGCCTCACCAGGCTTAGGAGACAGACTCTCGATGCCGTGGCAGCCATGCCAAGTCGATGACTAGTCGGCCATGAGAAAATTCACATTTTCCAAGTCAAGTCACGTCGGCTCTAATTTCTACTGTCTATAGCGGCTTGTGAGCGGTGGAACTCTGGGAACTCACCGATCGAGATCAGAGAGGATAAGAATGCAGGTTAGATTAAGTTACTTTAAGGGTAAATGATGGTGAAGAATGGTATAGTAAAGACATAGCTATGAGACTCTCAGATGGAATTTCGCAGGACAAGACACTGAGGATGCGGAGGTTCCTGCACTGCCCTCAAGCGTGGAGCAGGACTAGTAATGCAGCCTAACTATTGAACTTTCTGCAGGGCCAACATTATCCTGATGACACCACACCTGATATCGCTGACCTGATGTGAAAGTTGTCCTTTGCATCCTTGCACCTTTCGACGATTGCCTGGGCTGAGAGTGCTCCGAGCCCTCGTGTGCGCATGTTGCATGCTTTGTGACAGGAGATGGATGAGTTGCTGGCAAGGTGCCGGGAAGCCGAACAAAGCAGCGGACCCTGGAGTCAGGCTCGCATGGATGCCTTGTGACGATTCCTCTTGTTACTAGTAGTAGGGCCAGGAGCCCCTAGTAGCTTCTTGCTCCTAGTCGCTATGATTTAATGTTATTTAGCTAGATTTCGCTTCTCGGGCTTCGAGCACAACCACAAACCGCCTTCAGAGTGCTGTACAGCAATCATCGCGCTGGCGCATTCAAGTTCACAGCATTGCAGCAAGCTTGTGGGCTTTTGGATTTTGGAAAGACCTGAGAGAACATTCCTGCACAGGCCAACAGTTTGTCCGTTTCCTCAACCACCAAACGTCCAGACATGGTGTACTGATCTTAACCCGTGCGCAATATTGGCTATAACCAGTTTTCTTGATATTCAATTTTGTTTATGTTTGACGAGAACGTGTGCTTGACTTGCAACAAATGTCAAAAGGGCTGAAGAAGGCAAAGCACGCACGGAAAAGGAAACATAGTACCCGTACATCGCACTATTTGAGGTATTTCGTGACCTTGCTGGAGCAGCGTGTGGCGTTGGCGCCCCCCTCTCCGCCGACGGCTGCACAAAGAGTGCCAAGGCGGAAGAGGCCAAAGCGGCACGGCTATGTACTGTGCCTCGGCTGCCTTTTCCTTGCAAAAAAGTTTTGTCGGTCCTTTTTCTCTCATGGTTCCTTTCTTTCTTTTTTAGACCTGTAGACGTTTTTCTTTCTCCATCGATTGTTTCCTCCTTCTCTTCAAACAGTCTTGCTCGTCAATAAGGTTTAAACGTCAGAATCGATTCCATCGTATATAGATAGTACAGTAAAGTTTCGCTTGGAACCACATACATACGATTGTACGATCAGACACAAAGTTAAGCAGGCTTTGCCTGGAAAGTAAGTATGGTGAACCCATGTGATGTAAAACCATCAACTAGCTTACTTTGCAGATGCGTTGTCGTCCAAGGAACTATCATAGCTGCCGGCAAGAAGCTCGAATTGATGAGGAGGCTGTGCACTGCTTTGGTTTGAAGATGAAGGCTTTGTATGGATTTCTTTGAGCACAAGGGGTGGCAGGTTTTGCTACAAATGCACAGTGGTGCTAGCAGCCCTACTGCCCAACAGAAAGAAGAGGCCGGGGCCGCCAGAGCTTGTGCCGCTTACATTCGCCTGAGCGCTGCTTACTGAGTGTTTTTACTGTTAGTCTGGAGACTGTTGGAAAGATTTGGAAACCATGTGAGCTGAGCGCTCGCTAGCAGCTGCTAGGTGGCGGAGAAGGCCACCAATCGGCCTCTCAGCTGGGAAGGAACGGAAGAAACGGAAGCACTCCAGGGTTTCAACCTTTCAAGCAGCAACATGAAGAGCAAATTACTTTACAGTAATGTGTCATACCTCGATGCAACTAGATACAAACATGGTTGACTTGTAATCGGCAGCAGATTGAGGATGAGTGCAGCTACAATGATACAGCTGTGCCTGAACCATTCTGGAGCTAAGGGCTTTAGCCTTGCCTCATGTTCTGGAGCAGCTGCGGCCAGAGGCGCCAAGCGACTCCGAGTGGGTGCTGGATTTGTAGATTGGTCTACGGCCTGCGCTCGACCTAAGTAAGGGCTCCCCCTGTAATGCACCTGTCGATGCACAGCCTTAAACATCCTTAAAAGCGGTGCAACTTGGTGACTTTGGTCGTGGCACGTGGCACATCGTGGCACCATGGATATCCATCGCTTTCCAGGTCCGCTCTTGGAGTCCTCTCCGCCAGAGCCCAGTGAAGATGACGCCTGGAGGATCGAACTATGTCCAAATGGGTCCAAGGCTTTCATAAAAGCACATCAAAAATCATGTTTGTTTCAATTACATTTATTGATGATTTTATTGGATTCTAATTCAGCACATTTTACCCTGGTCAAGCAGATTGAAGTAACAAGAAACAGGTGATGAGAGATATCAGAGAGGATTAGACAGAGAGATCTGCGGATCAGATGAAGTCTCCTGGCAGGGCAGATATGAATTAGTAGCGTCCTTGCTCCTAGTAGCGATGCCCTTTGTTCCTAGTAGTGTCCTTGCTCCTAGTAGCTTCTTCTACTAGTAAGGCACTTGTTACTACTAGTAAGGCACTTGCTCCTAGTAGCGATGCCAGGAGCCCCGAACGTAGCGTCCTGGCCAGGCACCAGCTCGACTTGGATGGGATCCTCTGAGCCTCCTGGGACTGCGGGCACTGCCTCCAGTGCCAGTGATGCCCTCGAGGCCCTGAAAGAAGGCTTTCAACGAAGCTATTTCACTTATATAATTTTATCTGTTCGGGCCACGACAAGTGCCCATTCAAATCTCAAATAGATCAAATAATAGCAGTAATCAGCAGTTTCGAGGTTAGCTGACATTCCTCCGACATGCTGTCTTTTTGGCAATGAAACCGTTGTGTGAGAGAATTTGATCGTGCTTCCGCCAGGCAGAGACTATCTTCAACAATGGTCTTGCGAGTCCGAAAAGGGTTCGAGGTTGGGCATTCATTGGATTCAAAAGTTCAAACGGGTTCAACCTGCCTACCTGCTTATAAGACCACAGTTTTGCCCAAACGGACGCTTTGCCTCAGAGCACAATGGGACTGTCCCACAAAGCATTAGGAATAGTATTTGGAATCTAGACACTTCGATAGTGACCTCTTCCAGGCATGTCGAAGGAGGCCCATGCGGCTTCGCGGCGTACGAGCAGCAAGCCTCGGCAAGTCTTAGTGTTTCCGATGAAGGACTGTGGCTTGCTTGGAGGTACTGTAGGTAATGCAATCTGGGCTATTGGTGGTGCTTGTGTGTCTAGTATATAAATGTGGGTGTTCTGCAAATTTGCTTACTTCTTTGATAAGCCTTTGCGCACAGGAGCGAAATAGGAGGAGACATAAATCGCCAGCACCCAAGCCAAAAGGCCGCGCAGGGTTTCATTCAATCCGAGTTAGATTGGAGTTGTTAGTGCCTGTGAAGGGCAACGACTGTCATGAAGTTGACACGTGCATAATTTGTCAGTTTCTTGGAAGAAAACTGCTGGCTGTGATTGGTTGGGTCGGTGAGTCGGTGGGGCCGGCCAGTCTGTCAGCCTCTCTGGCTGGGTTTGAGGAGATTGGGAACTCCTGGTCCAAGCTCGAAGTTGATTGAAGGGGGAATGGTTTTGGATGTTTTGGGTACAATCAATCCTCCAAATGTATCAGAAGAATCAATAAACTAGAATAAACTTCATCTTCGTGGTTAGCAAGAGCGGGCCAGGCAAAGTGCTGTGGCTACCACCGCTGCGGCAGGTACCAGCCCCACATGCTAGCAGGGACCTTGGAATTGAAAGATTTGTCACAGTTGGATGCAGTTTGCATCTGATGTAGGTAGGGAGCATCCCTTTTCTTAACGACAAGACACACACACTCTCTCTCTCTCTCGCATAGGCTTCAGAACCTATCTACTGCTTTTACATTCTTTACTCGGTGAAGGAGTGGCATGGGAAAGTTCCAGAATCTGAACACGACATCACCCACGTTGTTCTTACCTGCTTTTTGTTTCAATATTTTGTACCATCTCGTTTGTTCCAGGTGTCCTGCCGCTGGAGCGCCGCAATCGCCTCCCAGACCCCGTGGAGCCGCCGAAAGAGGCGGAGTGAAGAGGATCTTAAACATAAAGCTCCTAGTAGCAAAAATGCTCCTAGTAGCGATGCCAGGAGCCCCTACTTGTAGTAGAGTCCTTGCTCCTAGTAGTAAGGCCAGGAGCCCCTTGTAGCGTCCTTGCTCCTAGTAGCGATGCCAATTGCTCCTAGTAGCTTTATGATATCTGATATCTATGTAAACATACAAATTGAAAGGCATCTTGAACAAACCACATGATCAACGGAGGATGTATGCTGCTTGTACTTTTCCCATCTTGCCCTCATATTTCAGTCAATGCCATTCCTCTTTTAGTTCGCTGCTTATTTTCGGGTTGATTGTAGAGGTCCAAGTCAGCTCATTTCAAGCAGTGAAGGCTGAGGAAGCAGCTGACCTCAAAGCTTGAAAGGCTGAGCTCATTGAGCATCCGGCAGCGGCTCTAGTAGCAAGGGGTAGTCAAACCATGTCAAGTCAGAGATGCAATCTTCAAAAACTGTCTTGAGGACGAGGGCTGTTGTTTTAGCTTTGATGGGCTCTCAGATCTGTACGTACGAGTCAACACGGCTCGTTTTCCTCAAAATATTGTACAAATGGCATTTGTTGCTGTCTACTTGGCTGAAATTGGGCCATAGTGAATCGCCTGATGGCCGTCATGGCTGTACAGAGCCTCTTTTTGTCAGGTCCTGTAGCCAACTGGTAACCCAGAGGCTCCATCTAGAAACAAGATGCTGGAACAAGGTGAGATCATGTATGCAATAGGTTTCATATGGTTTCATGATGTTTTTTTCTTTTTGGGTTGGAGGCCATCGCTATTAGGTTGGAGGCCATTGCTATGATTGGAGGCCATCGCTAGAAGGTTGGAGGTCATCGCTATTAGGTTGGAGGCCATTGCTATTAGGTTGGAGGCCATCGCTAGAAGGTTGGAGGCCATCGCTATTAGGATGTCGCATTCAACCTCAATTGCTACTTGCTCACCAGAACAGTCAGGCTCAACTGTCGTGCATGAGCAACCGCCACGCACGGCAAAGAGATTTCATTTGCACCAACAGATAGACACTAACACCGCACACTTATCACCAGACCAGGTTTCAGACCTCAACTGTAGCATGTTAATAGCAAGGAGGCACCTCTGACCAGGTCCAGGATGTGCAAGCAAGCTGCCAAAGAGAAGATGTTCATAAAGAGAAGCTTCATCAAAGCACTTTCGTCTTGGCATCTCGACCCTTCTCAATTCCGCTATGGTGGACGTGAAGGCTGGAAGAGCTACGCTCTAATTTATGGCCCAGCTCAACGGATGCTAAGCGTGTAGCCCCGAGCAGTGATACCATCCATTTACTGTAGTTGAAGAAAACGAACACGTTCTTCTAACTACTGTGAGTAAGGGGTAGTGGTCATTTGTTTGCCTCCTTACTGCCCCCTGATAAGAGTATTTACACTTTACTCGTCGTAGCAACGCAGCCATCGCAGTGAGAGCGCACCAAAACACATCTTACGGTTGTTCGCAATTAGGTGCGCATTAAAGATGGCTGCCGCGGTGGACGAGAGCAGTTCACATGGGGCTCCATCAAGGAGCAGGAGTTCAAGGACCTCATTTGTTGCGCTGGCAGGCTTCCACTGCCATTTCCCATTATGTACTAGTAGCAAGCCTGGAATGCGAGGATCGGGAATCATACCTTGGCCAGTCCACCAAGGCGCTTTTCCATAGCACATTTACCTGACTGTCCTGGCTAGTCTTGGGCGGCACAACCTCAGCCACAGCAGGTTGGCCAAATGGGCAAGTTTGGAAAGTACTACTTGCACGACTGGTATGCCAGAAAGCGGGACACTACTGTGCCTTGCCCAAGAGCCGCTGAAGCAAGTGCCTTGTGGGGGGAAGGGTGTGCTGGAGGTCATTCGCTTGTAAGTACGTAGTACGACTAGGGTCGTTTGATGTCATTTGTACCCCCAGACTTTGGCTGTGCCTGCTGCTTGCTTGCATAAAGCATCCCAGGCCAGCATTGCAGAAGAGCGAGGTGCAGTGCAGGCCATCACCTTGAGAGTTGGGTCAAGTGTTCTTGAGTGAACATGCGGTTAAGCTAGTAGATCCTACTTTGTGCATTTGACTTAACCATGACAATGTTTGTGCATTGTGACATGTTTGTTTGAATGGGCTGCTGATACGGACAGCTTGACCAAAGGCATACGAAGAAGAATTGATGCAGGAGGCCTGGGCCTGGACAGGGCTTCAAAGCTGCAAGACAGAAGGGAACCATATTAATTCCCACATTTCCGCTCGTTGGATTTCCCAAAGGGCCAATTCCTGCCCATTTTTTGGCCACAGCGATGGCGGCTAAGCGGCTAACCTTTCCTTCCAGGCCTTGGGACTTAAGCCAAAGAAGCTTCTCCTGGCCAAGAAGCAGATGAATGAGGTGAAGATACACAGTGCCAGATGCTCGTCGGTCGTTTGCCTGTTGGGTCCAAACTTGGGTTCTGGAGACATGTGGAAAAGACACGGAAGGGCTCTTTTTAGGCTTCGATCTTGGACTGTCATGAGCTGATGAAGAATAGCAGATATTGCAGGCCTAATTCTACCCCCTCCTCGTATTCTTTTTTGTATCTCTTTTGATTGCAAGGTGCTTTTGGAATTCAGCACACACCACATTGTGGCATCATGTGGCATCGCATCTTCATTACTTGCGTTGTCTTATGTGCCAGCGCTCAGCCCGTTACTATAACCTAATACTAATTAATTATATAATACTTATTGTTTTTATCTTTTTGTATCTGCCCATCAGTGCCGGCGCAACGCTGGTCAGACATTTTACACGACAAATCCTTTTTTGGCAATAATTCTCCCGCGCTGGGCCTACGACCGTGTTACATCGTGCGAATGAGAGACAGGTTTGTCTCCCCAAGGCAAGACAATTTTGACATCAATCAAACCAATCAGAATCAAAAGCTGGGATTTTATTATTGATCACCCCACCCCCAGGCCACCAGTACAGCGGGCTCAATGATCAAAACTGCCTCTAACCAGGCTGTTCTGCCCTGGTGACCAAAGGGAATAATTCCTTTGAAGCGATCTTTGTGTTTGCTGCCATTACTGAGATCTGATTCCCGAAAGCGCTTTTGCAGGCGTGTATAGATCTGAGCCAACTTGCTGGCAGTTGTTTCCTTCCTTGGTACCCGATTCACAAACACCCCGCGTTCGCACGTGAACATGCAGCGCTAGCTTTCCTTCAGCCCAGTGTTCGCTTCAGCCCGTGCTGGCCAAGTTGGGTAGATTCTTCCAACCGATGTTGCATGCTCATGCATGCTCATGGATTCTTCATGATTCTTCACATGTACTCACAAAGAGGTAGAAACGTATTTACAGAAACTCCAAGTCTGTGCTGTTTGCATTTGTTTGCCAGGAAGAGCTCAAGGATGTGGATTCAGGGATTTGGTGGTTTGCCAGTCCATGGACATGTGAAAGAGGGGAAATGAAATGAATCCAATGAAGGTAGCAAACATGGAAGCGTCACCAAGAAGGGCATTTTGCTCGCCGAAGCTTCCAGGAGTTCTTAAAAGCGAAGAAGAATGATGAGGGCCGCGAGGTCTTTCGCATATCTTTTTGCGAGCCTTGTGTCGCTCAGACCTGTCGAGCTCTTTACATTTCGTCCATACTGTAGTAGTCTGCGCGAGGCTATGGGGCCTCAGAAGAAAGTCATGCGGAATGAGCTTGGTGAAGAGGCTCGAAAGATAGAGACGGGAGCTTCGACACTGGCATACTGCAAGAAGTTGTTTGTCATGATAAGATTTAAACAGAAAGATGACTTGCACAAGTACAGAGTGGATTCTTGAAGGCCTAGGCAAGGTTCTGAAGCACGGTAGAGTGGTGCCTTCAAGAGCATGAGGTAGTCACCAGCAACGAAGACCAAATGGCACAAGCTGTGCGAGATGGAACTCTGAAAGGCTTGGGGTGTGAAACTTAGACACTGGACCATCTTGGACCCAATCACCTATGACCGGGTGAAATTAGAGAGGATGCCTGAAGTGTCAGGAAGCAGGTGGCGCGGTTCAACCTTTGCCAATCAATCTTGTTTGTTTTTATGCATCGTTATGCTTCCTGGCTTAAGTGAATGAATTGCAACCCACCTGAAAAAATACACCAGCATAGACCCCAGATAGCAACCAACTCTTAACAACAGAAGCACCTGAGACAATAATCAAGTAAGCCACACAAAATCCATGAGAGCTTCCCATGACAGTGAGTGGGCCCAACAACACCTGTCTGCGTGACTCCACAAATCATGTCATGTTTTTCTGTGCGCTCCGCGCCCGCAAGTGGGGAGACACGGCAGCAGCGGCAAACAACAGTGTCATCACATAGGCAAGCAAGTGGGGAGGCAAACCGGGAGACATGCATATCGGGAGACAAGCCAGCAGCTGCAGACAAAGCCCCGATCACACAGGCAAACAATTGGGGAGACATGTAAAGAGACAAGTGGGGAGACAAGGCAGCAGTGGCAGCAGTGGACCAAAACGCCGATCAGCCACCCAGTCACTGAGAAGTAAGAAGCTCGAAAGTTTTCAGCTACCTGGGGAAAAACATAATATGAGCAAATTGCAAAAGTTCCGAGCCCACATGTTGAGAAAACATGGAAGTTGTCACTGTGATTGAAATAATATCAACCCCAAAGCCGATACCTAGCCTTGTGACTGCACACATCTTGGCGTCATGTCAGTTGTCTACTTGCAGTCTCCTTCCTGGACATAGAAGCTAGATACATTCTGATACCGTTGGCCTTTGGTCTTCCTGTTTGCGTATATTGGCGTGCCTTAGCATTCATGAAGTGGACAGGTTGTTTACTTTACGTGTAGACTCTAGGCGATACTTCCCAAATAGAAATAAGCAACCGGTTAAAAAAAACGATAACAGTCAGAAAAACGACATCTACTGTACCTTAGAATTTCCACCCAGAGCCTCTAGTCTTGTTGGTCGCTCATATATAGGGTGGTTAATCATGATGCATCAAACAAACCAATTGATGCAACAGTTATGTTCAGTTTTTGCTTCGGTTGTCCCCCCATGTGGTTTCCGTTTTGGTCTCCCAGGTTCGCTTCGCACCGCGATGCCAAGCTGGAGAGGATCAAAGCCCAGACCCTTGGGACGGTGCGGCGCCACAGCATCAATGAGTGCGGAAAAGGAGCATTCCGAAGTCAAGAAGTCTATAAAAGAGTTTATACCGGCATAGACCCCAGATAGCACTTCAAGAAAAGTTGGACACCATGGCAAGAGCGGGAGACAAGCTTGGGAGACATCCCACTCAAAGCCGGAAAAAGGATGGAAAAGGTAAACAAGACCTAAATCATCTTATAACAGCATCCGCGTCAAAGGCAGGCAGGAAAATGACAAGGCGGCAGCGGCAGCCAAGAGCGAAATCAGGAAGGAAACACAGCGGCAGCGGCAGCCAAGAGCGAAATCATGAAGAGAGACAAGCTTGGGAGACAAGCCGGCAGCGGCAGCCAAGAAGGCTTGAGAGACAAGGCGGCAGCGACAGCCAAAAGCGAAGTCATGAAGGGAGACAAGCCGGCAGCGGCAGCCAAGAGCGAAGTCATGAAGGGAGACAAGCTTGAGAAACAAGACGGCAGCGGCAGCCAAGAGCGAAGTCATGAAGGGAGACAAGCTTGGGAGACAAGCCGGCAGCGGCAGCCAAGAGCGAAATCAGGAAGGAAACGCAGCGGCAGCGGCAGCCAGACAAGCTGGAGAAACAAG